AAAAAATTTATTGCATTTTTGAACGAATCACGAAATTGCAATTTTTGAAATTTGAGCGCGTGGCGCAGCAATAGGAGTCTTTAGGCCGAGCTAACCATATTAATACAGTCGAATTTTTATGAAGAAAAGACTTACAAATTCGTTGTTACGCGAATTAATTATAGTTGAACAAGATTCGTTGAAACGAGGGTTTACTGTATTATTAATATTAATATTATAACGATAACAAATAAAAAGTACAATTCATTGTTGAAAATGATGCCTCTTTAATAACTTCTTCAACAGGCACAGTGTAATGTGCTCAAAGAATAACAAAAAACAAAGTGTGGAATTATTTCACAGTTGTAGATGGAAAAGGCAAATCCAATTATTGAACTATAGAGGTAAACATTTTTTTTGACTTTTAAAGCCATTTATTTCCAAAGTCAACTCTTTAAATTCAAATATTTCATATGGTATATACCGACTGTATTTGAATTAGATTCGAACCAAATCATTGGTTCGGGTGCATTATTTTTTTCAAATTTTCCAAATTGATCATATCGAGTGACACATTAGTTTTATCCAAATAAACTAAGCCACCCTCTCTCTTGAATGTAAAAATTCAATAAATAATATAAATAATATAATAAATATAATACGCAATGGTGGTAAATATTTTTATAATTATTATATAAATTCCATATAATTAACATTTTCTCTAATTCTATAATTAAATTTAAAGCTAGTTTTAGTATTAGGAGATCTTCACATTCCTTATCGTGTAAATGATCTTCCATTAAAATTTAAGAAACTTTTAGTATGTTTATTTTATCTTTAAAGAATTCCTCCCTTCGTCCATTTCTTTGGCTATATGTGTTGATTTTATTTATGATAATTAGGTTCCAGGTAAAATTCAACAAATTATATGCACAGGAAATGTATGTGATAAAGAAACATTTGATTATTTGAGAACAATTGCTGGTGATGTTCATGTAGTTAGAGGAGATTACGATGAGGTACAGCATAATAATTATTAATTTAAACCCTCATTTTTCTTATTATTATCTCTTACATTAAAATAATATCTCTTAAAAATAATAAGTTTGCAAATTGGCCACTCTCCAAGATTGTCACTCATGGACATCTTCGTATTGGAGTGTTACATGGACATCAAGTAATTCCAATTGGTGACGCAGAATCATTATCAATTATAGCAAGACAAATGAACGTAGACATTTTATTAACAGGTCATACTCATCGTTTTGAAGCAATTGAATATGAAGGAAAATTTTTTGTTAATCCTGGAAGTGCAACTGGTGCTTATTCAGGATTTAGTGCCGAGTATGTTTGTTGTGTCATCCTTTCATTGAATATGATTATTTCTCTTGCAATTCACTCATTATATAATTTTCAAACATTTAGGGAAATAATACCATCATTTATTCTAATGGACATTCAAGGGTCAGTGGTGACTACATATGTTTATCAATTGATTGATGGTGATGTAAAGGTCGATAAGATAGAGTATAGAAAAACATTTGACTCTGAAAGAGTTGCGTAATAATAATACTATTTACTAATTTAACAATTATTTGTATAATAATATATATTATAATGATAATAAATATTTCACATGATTCGAATCTTTATGACAAAAACAAATCTAAAAATTCAAACCCCCCCCCCCCCCCCCCATTTAAAAATAAAAACTATTGGTAATCAAATAGTCAAGATTAGATGGGCCAAGAAACTAATAGGCACCGAGAATGTTAGCAGCATTAGTAACATTCATTATTGCTAACACCAATAACATTAGTAAAATTTATTAAATTTATTATTGTTTTTAATAATAGTATTTATGATGATGATAACATTTATAATAATAATGGATTTAGGCAAATTATTTAAAATATATATATATATAACTATTTAGAACCACATTTTTATTAGAAATCTTATTACATTCATAGAACTTTTTCATCCAGCCATTGAAATCTTTAATTTACAATTTTTCAAATTTATATCATATTCCCTTTACCTACTACATTCACTCCATATATTTTTTTCTTTTCCTCTTAAAAACTATTTAATTAGCAAGAAAGAAATATTGTAATCCAAATGACAAAGAAACCTACAATATGTGAACTGCATAAAATAATCAAATCAGAAAATTAAAAATGTTGAAAGAAAGACTATGAAAAACAAGAAAATTATAATAATTAATTATTGTTTGATTAATATTAATATTTATTTATCTGGAATTTACACTGGTTTTCATTAAAAAAAAAAAAAAACAATTAATATATTTGTGAGAATAGAACCAAAAATAATTTCTATTATAAAAAAATAATCTTACACTTTTTGTAAAAATTTTTGAAGCTCTTCAGCCTCAACAATCAAATCGTCATTTTGTTCGGTTGATAATGTCTGCTGTTGCTGTTGTTGTTTTATCATAGTGACAAGTTCATTTTGTGTACATCCTTTCATATCATTATTATTATAATCATTAAGAGTTTTACTTTTACTTTTACTATTACTACTAAATTTATTATTATTATTATTAATATCTTCTTCTTCCTCTTCTTCAGTTGTGATTTTACGTTTGCCTTTTCCACTTATTCCTGGTGGTTGTAAACTTTTTTGTTTATAAATTTGACGAATATGTTCAAGTTGTTCTATGTCATCTTGTCTAATCTCTAGTTTTGTTGGTTTTCGACGAAGCATTATTTTTATGATTTACAAAAGAAAATCTGGGTATCAAATTTTTTCTTTGAATTAATATACCCGGATATTTTACAGGTTGAACAATAAATTCGTTATGGGAAAAAGGTTGCAATAATTTGAATTCTCTTTTTCATTCTTCATTTTTGGAAACTATTAATATTTAATGACCTTATCAATTCTAATCAAGACCACAGTTATTGTATGAATCTGATTTTTTATGACGCGGAAATTAAAAGTTGAATAAACTGAGACATTAGAACTTTAAAGCTCACCCCACAATTCCAAAAGCAAGGTCTTTATATTTAAAACTATTTTATCAAATATATGGCCAAATAAGCATATATTATTAACGTAAAGTATTAATTACAACTTTTGTGTGATTATATGCAGTAGACTTGCTGTTCGAAATTTGGAATATGGTTCAGACAGTAATCCTAATTAATATGCAGCAGTATAGATTTGCAACCATTCATTAAAGTAATGTTATTGACGCTATTTTAAAATTTATCACATGACAGCAGAAATATTCACTCAATCAATATCCGGGTAATCATTAAAGTATTCAGATATTCATTTGAACATTGATTAACTATTCAGTGAATGATTATTCATTGATGAATGTTCAGTGATAAAATTTAAAATTTATTAGTCATTTTACATTCTGTCAAAAAAACAAAATCTTTTCAAATAAATGTGGATCAAGTTTTGTTCCTTTGAGGTCATTGTATTTCCAGCTGATTAAATAATCTCTCACTTGAAGTGGACATTGTAGGTGCATAGTAACTAACTGACAAAACAGGAAATCTATTTTATTATAAGAATGAATCATCTTTCCATATCTAACTTGAATCACCCTTTACTTTGCTTTTCTTCAAAATATGAGCAGCAGAAGACTTTTCCCCTCTCATTATTGTATTATTGCTTTCTCCTATTACAGTGGCTGAAGACTATTCTTCCATTTTAAATGAATGAAAGTGAAATAATTGATTAATTTAATTAATTAGAAACAAACAAACAGAGAATTTATTTGGACATGAGAAAAATTTCATTTCACAAGATATTGATTATTATTATATTTGGTCAATTAGTCAATGATATCCAAATACTTACTGAATATTCAATGAATATGTGGTAGAATTTTTTGCAGACATCACTGGTGGGTAAATTTTTGAAAACAAATTAGGAAAATTTATCTTCTGCTACAACTTTTGTATTTGTCATTGTTATAATAATATTTATTTAAATATAAAACCATTGATTTACTTCTCTATCTTTTTCACCACCATCATAATCATTATTAACAAATCTGTTAGATTCATCAATAACTATTTACATTTTTTTCTAGATTAGTACACTGCAGCCATAAAAAAATCTATAGTTGTAGCCACATTATCATTTGAAGATTCCAATTTTTCTGGTTGATGATGAATGTAACTGCTGAAAGAACAAATTTGTCCAACTATTTATAATTATTTTTTGTCAATGTTTAATAGCAAAATATTTTGATAAGGTTTAGTAGTCTTCATACCACCAGTTTGAATCCAACCTATTATAACATATATTTATGTATGTATTTACTACCTCTAAAAAATATGATAATATGGGGCATACTGCAACAAAACCAGGCAAAGTGAACATTGGTATTACCAAGGGTTTCAGGGATCAAAATTTAGTCACAATTGCATTGTAATTATAGTTTAACAGTTTTATAATGCTCCATTTGTTAATCTTTTAACTTTATTTGGACACGTGTGGGGCATTTTTCACATTCATAATGATCATTTTACTAAATATAATACAACTTTTGTGACCAAAACACATCTTTATATGAATCAGTAAGTTATTAATTGAATTTGATCACAATCCATTTGATTGGTGAATTTATAAAAAAAAAAAAAACTATCCCATTCTTATAAAACTTGTTCGCCAATTTCTGCGACTTCAACACCAAGTGAACAATTGTTCGGTCGTGCAGGAAATTTATTAACTACTAAAAGGTCAAGTTTACCTTTAGAATCATTTAAACAACATATGTTATTTTTAAAAAAGAAATGCAAGTTGTCACCCATCAAATTGATTTTGAATGCAATAAACATCAAAATTGTTGGTATTTCTATACTTTCAACCCGATGGATGTATTTTTTGCGTAATGAATGGATGACAGATTGATTTTTGAGATAAACATGAATGATCGCATCACTGGTACTATATAGTCAAGTAGTAATATTAATAAATATACTCTTTCTAAAAAAAAATGGATGGAACAAACCATATCAGCCGATTTGGTTTTTTGGATCTTTTTTTCAAACCTTATATCTTATTGTGTCTCGACGTTAATCACATTAAACATGATGTGTAAACTGGTCAATAGAATGGTAATTAACCCCAAAAAATTTATAAAAAAACTATTTTACTATTCGGTAGCCCGTCAAACCAATGGCCCCATCTCAAAACAAATGGGTTTTTGCTAGTATAAAGTATTCATAACGTTATGATCATACCGTACTGGATTTTGGGTTCAAACAAAATCAGCGCATATGCTCTATTGAAATGCCAACTTTTATTAGAAAACCATCAACCCTTTCAATTAGGGGTTTTTCGAAAAACAAATACTTAAATAGAGTAAATCAGCTATTTTAACATTATTAGATTTTTTACACAAAACTTAAAGGCACTCATGGTGGGTTAAAAAACCGGAGGCTGCTGGCTTGTGGTATCAAGCATCAGATTATATATTTGTTGAAATCAACGCTAAAATCATTATCATTGATATCTGTAAGTGCGAAATGTGAATAGTTAGCTCCATTTTATTTTTATTTTTATTTCTTTGTAAGTGATGATGTATAGAGAGTAATACCAGTTTAAAGTTGGGGGATTTTTAATTCGTGATCCACGAGTGTATTGATTGGTGTTTGAATGTTCTTATTTCTTCCTCCCTTAAAAGGATTTTGGTTTTTGATGCATTAATATCCTATGTTCATATGAATATTCACAAGTATTAGAACACAATTCGTGGAAATCGTTCGTCACATCCATACAGATGTTCCAAAATTGGAAATTAATTAATGTAAAAAATTATATTTATTTTGATTTGTTTTCAATAATAATTTTCAGTTGAGAAATCATGACTTCTTCACCTCCTACGAGTAGAAAAGAATCAAGAAGACCTTCCTCTTCCGATATCAGGATAAACACAAGAAAAACTTCTTGTTCTAGTAAAATATCCAATTATACTTTATATTATTTACATGTGAAAAGAGATATATATATACCGAATAAAATACTAATTTTTTTAAAAAATAGCCTTAGATGAATCATTGAAGACTTACAGACTTCTGGAAGCACTTCGAACAGGCACATTATAATTTATTATATATTCTTTGCTGAAATTATGTATTTATTTTAATTAATAAATTATTATATTTATTTAGGCGATTTATCAACGTTAGAAACAATACTATCAACATTTCAATTAGCGCAACCGTCAACTCCAAATTCTACTGCTGGTAGTTTATCAAGCATTCCTGAATCACAAACATCGCCATTAATTCTAGCTGTTCAATGTGCCAGTGTTTCTACTATAGAGTTCATATTATCAAAATTTTCAAATAATATTAATATTAATCAACGTGACCAACTCGGAAATACTTGTTTACATTATGCTTCAAAAAATGACAGATTGGATGTCGTAGGAATTTTATTGAAGCAACCAAATATTAACGATACAATACCTAATTATGATGATAAAAAACCTATTGATCTATCCAGAAATCAAGAAATAATAGAGTTATTTAATGGTAATTTTATTTAAATTTCTTATATGTTTCTATTTGTTTTTTTCTTACTTTTTTTGTTTTTAATTATCTCCGATTTTTAATTTATAGCAAATAAACAAGAATTTATTGAGGAATCAACTTCATTGTTTCGACAATATGTTTCAGATTCAAACTATATAGCAATACAAAATTTATTTCAAAATCCAAGAGTCAGTGCTTTAATTGATATAAACCTTCAAAATCCTTCAAATGGCACAACCTTACTGCATGATGCGACCAAAAAAAAAAATTTGGAGATGGTCAAATTTTGCTTAGATAATGGTGCAGATGTAACCGTCAGGGATCGTAAAGGCAAAACACCAATTGATGTTGCTAAAGATGATAAAATTAAAAACTTATTAAAACAAGGTTAATCATTTATTTTGCTACTTGTTCCTATAAAAATGATAACTTTTTTTTAATTTGGAAGGGTAATAATCGATTTTATTATTTTAGTTAAACCAACAATTGCATTAGATATTTCAACTTCACCAGATCATCCACCAATATTAAAAGGATACTTACATAAATGGACAAATTATGCCGGAGGTTATAAGATCAGATGGTTTGTACTTGAAAATGGTATATATATATGTAATTATTTAGAATTCACAACGAATAAATAAATGATAACAATAATGATAATAACCTTATTTGATTGATTTTATTAGCGATACTGTATTATTTTCAAAATAAAGATGATGCAGGTAATTCGTGTCGTGGCTCAATTAATATGAAAATAGCAAAAATTTCTAAAGATACATCAGATACACAAAGGTTTGTTATAATTGGTAAAGGTTCTGTAAGATATCACTTAAGAACAAATACTCCATTAGAAGCAAAAGAATGGATAGCTGCATTAGAACAATCAATACAATGGGAGGATAATAATAATACTACTACTAATAGATCAATTACAATAGATGATAAAGCCTCTATTTCACGTGTATCACGTGAAAGTAGTAGAGATGAAGATTTAAGGATTGGACGCAATTTACACAGGGATGATCAAAGCAATATAGAGGAATGTGAAGAAAATAATTATATGGGTGAACATTCTAGATCATCATCAAATGATTCAAGTGAAATTGATAAGTTACCATACGAAAATACCTACCATTTGACTATAAGTTCAGTTAGAACACAATTCGATTTACAAAATCGATTATTTGAATCTTTAGTTGATTTATTAAGGCAGTCTTCCACAGAAAAAGATTCAAAAGAATCAAAAGTTATAGAGGCTTTTGCGAAATCTTTACAAACATTACAAGATTTGTTAAATGATACACTTAAAATGTCAGAAGAAAGAGATAACTATTGGCAGAAAAAATTAGATAAAGAATTAGAAGCTAAAAAGTTATGGGAAGAAAGCATGGAAGCTTTAGCAATTGAAAAAACTGAAATGGAAACAGTAATACAAAATAATGCAAAGGAAGAAAAAATAATGAAAAAACATTTAAAAGCAGCTATTATTGCTGAAAGTCTAGTTAACTCACCAACTAGTCCTAAAATTTCAAACTTATCATCAAATTCTAAAGAACCTGTTTCGCCTAATAAACCTCAAGAAGATGGTTTAATTGATAAAGATGCTGAAAAGAAAGAAGAACAACTTTCATTGGCAGACATATATGATTCTGAAGATGAATTTTACGACGCTTTTGATGGCGGACCAATTTTAGAAGGGGTTGAACCAAGCATCATTACCAATCCAACCGAAGATAATCTCTCGTCAACTTTTGCAAAAAATACCTCATTATCCAAAGATGTTCAGCCAACGTATATATCTGATTCATACAATGGGTATCCCGATCACGCTAGAACAAAATTTTCATTGGATAAAGGCTTTTCAAAACCTGAAGTTTCATTATGGTCAATATTGAAAAATTCTATTGGCAAAGATTTAAGTAGGATCGCTTTACCTGTCTATTTTAATGAGCCAACTTCTATGCTACAGCGTATGTCTGAAGACATGGAGTATAGTGAATTATTAGATCTTGCAGCTATACAGAAAGGTAGCACTGAGAGAATTTTATTTGTTGCTGCCTTTGCTATGAGCAATTACTCTAGTACCGTTGGTAGAATTGCAAAGCCATTCAATCCCTTATTGGTTTGTATGTCTGAATAATATATATTTTTAAAGTTATTATTTAAAAACTTTTAATAATAATATTATTATTATAGGGAGAGACTTATGAGTATGTTCATCCAGATAAATCCTTTAGGTATGTGTCGGAACAAGTCAGCCATCATCCAGTAAGTAATAAAATGATTTATTTGATTTCTTAATAATATGACAAAACATAAATAATAATCCTTGGTCTATATAGCCAATTAGTGCATGTTATTGTGAATCACCCAATTATGATTTTTTTTCTGAGGTGGACGTAAAATCAAAATTTTGGGGGAAATCATTTGAGGCATTACCGCAAGGAATATCACATGCGAGACTAAAAGTTTTAAAGGAATGCTTTCCTACATATACAAACAAGTCAGCTGAAGACTTTCCAGCAAATGGTAATCCCAAAGCATTTTCTGAACATTATTCATGGAAAAAAGTTACAACATCTGTAAATAATTTAATGATTGGTAAACCGTGGATTGACCATTATGGTAATATGACTATAACAAATCATTTGACAGGAGATCAGTGTATTTTAACTTTTAAAGCCAGGGGTTGGAGAGGCAAAGATGCGTTTGAGATTAGAGGTGTTGTGAAAGATAAAGACGACAAAGAAATTTGGGAGATTGCAGGCAGATGGAATGAAAGGTTGGTTGCAAGAAGAATAATTTTAAGTCCTTCGACACATGAAGAGGATTTGGGAAGTGATGCAGCGGCCTCAAAAGCTAAATTAGTACATGAATTGTCACCAACATTTAAACTCGAATCACCAATACAGACATCACCAATTTCAACCACCCAACCACAACGAAGACCAATTGTATTGTTATGGGAAAAGCATCCAGAACTTGAAGAACCTTTACCATTTAACTTAACACCATTTGCAATGACATTAAATGATTTACCCAGTTCATTGAAAATATGGATAGCACCTACAGATTCAAGATTGAGGCCTGATCAAAGATCAATGGAGTTAGGTGATTATGAATCTGCAAGTTTGGAAAAAAACAGATTAGAGGAGAAACAAAGAGAAAAAAGAAAATTAAGAGAAGCTGGTTCTATTCCAGAATTTCAACCTAGGTGGTTTACTAAAGAAATTGAAGAGGACACCGGTGAAAAATATTGGAAATTCAATCATGAATATTGGAAAGAAAGAGAACGTGTTGGTAGAGAAAAGATTCAAGGCATTGGAGATTCTAAATGGAATATTGATGATGATGATATTTTTTAGAATTTTGATTTATATTTTTCTTAATTTTTAATTTTTAATTTAATTTTAATTTTTAATTTTAATTTAATTTTTAATTTAATTTTAATTTTTAATTTTAATTTAATTTTAATTTTTAATTTTAATTTTGTAGTTAGTTTTTGATAATTCGTTAAAAACATTTTACTCCCACCATATATGGCACTTATTCACTGTTCTAGATTAAAAATGAGCATGGTTTGATTTTTTTGATTTTGTAATTATAAACATTGATAAGTTGATTTTGCAAACTGTAGTTCTAGGAAATTATTAATAAGCTGATGAATTACTCTTGAATTTTTTGTTGTTGTTGCTGTTGTTGTCGATAATGATGATAGCGAAGATTATTCAAATGAATGAATGATGCATTGCACTTGTCGATGTGTTTAATTATGATTTTAGTTATACATATGAGTAAAAATAGAATTAGTGATCACAATCATCATATTCATGAATATTCATTAAGGGGGTTACACTTATCAAAAATCCAAAAATCCCTTAATATTTAAACTTATGTGTCAATCATAAGTGTAACCTATTCATATGATAATTGTGATTACAAAGTATATATATAGAATAAAAAAAATTTTTCCTTTTTTTCAGCCCATATTTCCAACCCCTTTTTTTTGACGCGTTAATATATAATTTATAATTTGTTACACGGTCGCGGTCAATCTTATTATTCTTCTTTTACAACAACAAAATCCATAACATACATTTATAACAAAATGTCTAGATACAACAAACGTGAAAATAAAAAGCCAAAATCTACCTCTTACGAAACTCTTCGTCGTCTAAGAGAACAGGGTGGTTCCCGTTTAGACGAGTATGAAGTAATTATACAAATATAATTTATTATTTGAAGTTTTTTAATAATAATACCATTTGTTAATGTGTATATATACATGCATACATATATAATTAGCTTAAAGAAGAAGTATTGTATGATTTAGTTAGTGAGGATGAATATCAAGCTCGACTTCAAACTGAAAGAGAGGGAAATGATTTTATTATTGATGATGACGGTAATGCATTTATAGATGATGAAACAGATGAAGAAACTGACGATTCTCAATATGATGATTCCCCTCAAACAGGTAAATCATAAAATCAATCATGATCATCATCAGTTTGTATATGTTAATTTCAAAATGAATAAATTATTATAGGAAAAGGAAAAGGAAAAGGAAAAGGAAAAAGAAAAAGACAAAAAGGGGATAAAAAACCCGAGAATATTAAGCCAGTTAATGCATTTTTCCAGCGTGTAGCTGCTGTAACTGAGCAAAAATCTACTGTGGTAATAATTAATTTTTAAATTATCCTTATAGATTATCCTTATTATCATTATTATCTTATAGATAGATAAATTGATAAATTTAATTTCATGAAATAGGTCGAATCAAATGAAAAGGAATCAAATTTTATGTCAAAATTGTTTGAAGATTTGGAAAATGATATGGAAGATGTAGAGTTTAATGTTAAGGAAATAGATAATAATAGACTTGATATGGAAATTTTGAAAATTAGTGCTTCGCATGCTATGGATGATGATAAGGGCGTTGATGATAATAATTATATTTATGAGCACAATAATGTTAATGAGCATAGTAATATTGATGATGATGATAATAATAATGAGCATAATAATATCAATGAACATAATAACATTAATGAACATAATAATATTAATGAGTACAATAATCTTAATGAATATAATAATAATAATAATAATATTAATGAACATAATAATATTAACAATAGTATTATTAATGAACATAATAATATTAATAATAGTATCATTAATGAACATAACGATATTAATGAGCATAATAATCTTAATAGTATTAGTGAGCATGATATCAAAGATATTGAAAATTCTTATATTTTGCAATCTGAAAACATTGAAACAGATATGAATGTTTTCAATAATAATGATGGTTTTCAAGAGACTGCTCAAATAGCTAATTGTCTCAAAATTTTTTGGATTGATGCATACGAAGCACCTGGTAAACTGTATATATTTGGAAAGGTATATTTTATTTAATTGATAAATTGTCATATCTTTTTTTTGATATTATAATAATAATATTTTTTTTTATAAATAGATATTGGATGCAAAAGTTAACGGAGTTAATGAATTTAAAAGTTGTTGCGTCTGTGTAAACAATGTCGCAAGAAATCTTTATGTATTACCTAGATCAAGAAAATATGATGGTTTTTATTTTTATCATTTTTATAAATTCTGTAGA